AACCCGGACTGCTCGATCCGGAGACATACAAGTTGTCAGTGTGTAATGAATAATTTTTTTGCAATCCCAGGGCTTCTTTTGCCCCACTGGTACTACTATTCCTCAGCCATGCCCATGTGGTTACTATGGTAACTCGTCTGGTGTGAAAAGAAGTGAAGAGTGTGCACCATGCCCCGCAGGTGAGTACTGCGCTGGTTATGGTCTGAAAGAGCCTACCGGACCTTGTGATGCTGGATTCTACTGCAGTGGAAGAGCCTGCACCTCTGTGAGTATTAAAACTGGACTAGCTTGGGTTGTGTTAAATTTAAAAATTAGCAATTATTCCATGCATGCGTTGTATATGAGATGGTACGTTCCCAACGAGATGCGGAGTGCCAAGTTGGCTGTAACCATCTCATATCCAACAAGCACCATTGGTAGATTTGTTTCATTAAAAATGCCCCCCCACAATTACGCAAATACTTACCATATTTGTGGAGCATGGTATAATGGCTCATAAACCATGATGGCTAAGCCAGTGAAAACTCTTCCAGTGCATTATTCAATGATCCAGTTTTTAATAATATTGTTTAGTTTGGTACGTTACTGCACCTAAGTTAATTTTTCTTTTTCTGTCACCTTCATTTACAACGCGCTACCTTGGTATTAATTTGAATAATTTGTTATAAAATTATTGAGGAACCTAAGTGGATTTATCATTTTGCTAGGTTTATAGTTGCTAGGTAAAGAACCTTGCAAAACAAAAAAGACATTCTATGTAGATTTACTGTGATTCAAATACTGTACTCTCCCTGTTGTTAGAACTTATTTCTTTTTTTTTCTCAAAGGCCCCCCCTGAAGGAAGCCCAACAGGAGGTCTTTGTCCCAAAGGGGGCTACTGTCCACAAGGTGCAAAAACTCCAGAGCCCTGCCCTGTGGGGAAATACAGTGGAACCAAAGGAAACAAAGAACCAGATGACTGTGTCACATGTGACCCTGGGTATGTTATGTTATTGACACTATGCACTACCAAAGAGTAACAGCATTAATTACCATAAGATTGGCAGTACTGCATGTGTTTGCCAGCATACTCGACAGATTTTGTTGTTTTTTTCCTCATTAACAGACAGCTTTGCACGTAGAAGGCACCATGCTAGACACAAATTGACTGTAATCATTTAAAGAGCTTGTGAAACTTAGTAATTGGTGAATTGTTTAGCTCTTTGGGTGTAATAGTCGAGGAGAAATAGGCTTTCAAAACCTACAAAATTTCTGGGTGCTGAAAGTGTTAATGAGCTCATACATTCTTTGTAAAAGTTTGAGTTTTCAAACCAGTGTCACACAAAAAGTATTCAATACTTCTGGCATAAATTCCTTGGGACAGTTGATCATACTATTCCATTTCCATATTCAGAACTAATGTTTTTGTAGCTCCATCAGAAACTGTATTGCTTATACTAATGAGGCAAATATTTTAAACAAAGATTTTCCTATATGAGTTAGCTTAAGTGCATTGTCTCATTCAGATATTACTGTGCTGGAGACACCAACCCTGAACCCACAGGTCCATGTTCACCAGGACATTACTGCAAAGGAGGAGCATCTGTACCAACCCAGTTTGTCACGGAAAAGGGCCACTTCTCAGGAGAGGCTGCTGTTTTTCCACAACCGTGTCCAGTTGGAACTTATCAAGAGGTACCTACCACCATCTTGAGTAGAGTTTAACATGCCCACTTGTTTGAGTGTTCTTCTCAAGGGATTTTTCCCCAGTCAGTAGTGTCTGTGTACTCTAATGAGACCATTTCAACCACAAAGCAGGATGAAAAACCATTGTTTGGGTGTTGCTCCAATAAGTATAATTTTTGTAATGGATGACTCTGAACAAAGAACATGTTTTTTTTCTTCTTTGCAGACTGATCGAGCAGAGCGTTGTACAAATTGTACAGAGAAAAACTTCTGTGATAGAATGGGACTTGATTTTCCAACGCCGTGTATAACAGGGCACTACTGTCCTCCAAACAGCATCAAGCCAACTGCTTGTCCACCGGTGAGTATAATGATTGTTCATTGCTACTGCTGTAAGCGAAAAGGGTGAATGACAATGTGCTGAACAATTTGGCATAATCCTTGCTTTCTTTGTCTTGTTGTGCCCAAATTCGCAATTATCCAATCAGGAGCCATGTCTACTGTCCTGATATCCTGCGATATCAAGTCACTGACCTGATATGGCTCTGATATCATGGTCACTTGGCCAAATTTGAGTATGACCAAAGTTGTTGAGTAACTTTGGTGGCTGCCTTTGTTGTTTACACCGTGTCATACACACGAGGTTGCTTTTATTTGAAAGTTTATGACACTTGTCCTTTTGCTGGTATTTTTTGTTTTATTTTTCTTGAGTTCTTCAGGTGAATGCACACATTGATATGTTATTGCCAGTTTATGGACTGGCAATAACAGCAAACAGTCCCTTCTCAATCGCTTCCTGTATGTACAGGGTATAGCAGTTAGTCAAAATATGCTTAGATATAATTTTATAATAGTTATTTGTTACTATTTAATTTTTCAAGAGGTTTTTCACTGATTTCATCTGATGGCATACAGGTGTTTTTGGTCATAGATCTGTACAGCTAACATGAGGTTATTTTTCCCAGGGAACTTACAACCCAAACGGTGCAACGGCCACAATTGCATCTTGCATACCCTGTGATGCAGGATCGTACTGTAGACAACCTGGCTTGAACGCTACTGAAGGAAAATGCTCTGCAGGGTATTACTGTATAGAGGGTTCTCCAAGCCCAACTCCAGTAAGTTAACTTCACAGTTTAGCACATGCTTTTTTAAACAGACTTGAAGATAAGATACCATGTGGCATGAAATTTTTGCAGGTTTTAATTTTTGCGATATTTTTCACAATCTGCAAAAATAATTCCCGCAAAAAAATTTACTCCACTGCGAAAATAATACTTACAATCATCTCATGAAAAATCTTGGTGCCATTTATTTAAAACGTCTTTTTTGTTCAGAAACAAAATTTGAGGCCTATGCATGAAGTGGTAGCATAGTTTTTACTGATTCATTGCCGGGCCAATCAACCACAATAAGGCAAGATGTCATTGCAATAGATTGACACTGATTACCATGTTTCATATTTCTGCACGTTGTTTCACTTGTCGATTGCATGTAGTTTAAGCAATTGGAAAGAAGAAGCCTGAAAAAAATCAGGGCTTCAATGGGAATCGAACCCGTGACCTCTGCGATACCAGTGCAATGCTCTACCAACTGAGCTATGAAGCCACACATTGGGAGCGAGGCCAATTGCTTAAATTGGAATTGCTTAAATTGGAAAATTTACTGCGATGATCATTCTTCACTTTCATCTACAAACGCTGTTCAAATATGAATTATTTCATATATACTTCACATAGCCTGGTAAGTTAAGTTTTCTAATTTTGTTTCTAAAAGTAGTTAGATAGGGCATCTCTTATAGAGCGTTTTCACATGACGTCACGGCAGCCATGTTGGTGTACCATACCAATCCTGTGGGAGTTCAACTCTTTCCTTATGTAAACACTTCCTTTCATTTCAATAAATTTGCATGGCTGCTGGCCACATGAGTGAAAACGCTCTTATATCTTCACTTAGTTTAGACCATTATAAAGGCCTCGCATATCCTCGTACACTCCGCTGATGCCTCGCCGTCTCCCAATAGTACCGGTTCATTGCCCTGCCGACGGACTCGATGCCAGACGTGCAAGCACATAACTTCTCAGACTTTTCTACAAGGCCCAAAGAGCGCACATAACATCCGTGACCACTTCACCTGTCAGTCTGAGAATGTTGTGTATTGCATTTCTTGTCGTCGCTGCAATTGCCTGTACATCGGAGAGACTGGAAGGCGACTACGGGAACGTTTCAGCGAGCACCTCCGCAGCATTCGAAACCGATCGCACAGGTTTCCCGTAGCTGAACATTTCAACTTTGCCTCCCACTCTCTGGATGACCTCATGGTCTGTGGCTTGAAACAGTGCTCTGGCAGTAACATCAGCTGCAAGCAGCATGAAATGAAATTAATCTTCAAGCTGGGCACGCTTAGAGCGAACGGACTAAACATTGACTTTAATTTTTTGTGACTGTGGGGCACGTATCACACATACGCGCGCTAAAACAATGGTTTTCCTATTTGTTTACTGTGTACTTCATGCGCGCCCTAACCGTGTATGCCTACGCGTACAGTTTTTGTATAGCGTGGCTCACAGGAATCATTCCACCTACTGAAGAAGGGCTAAGCCCGAAACGTTTAGACTAGAAGAAAAAATTTGACACTTTTAGAGCCTTTTGAGCATTATTTCTAATTGTCAGATTGAATGTTTGCCATAAGATATGGTATTGAAATGTGGTTTCACAAAATCGCCATTCCTATCAAGTGCATAGAATCTTTACGGACGAATAGGGCGCAGATGTTGTCTGGTACAAGACTGTTGTTGACCTTATACATGAGCACTGTGGGATTGTTTGGTTTACTGTTTGTAGCCCTGGTGATTTGCAATGGTCATTAGAAAATCATTAGAAATCCGAAGGTCAGACGAATGTTTGCGAACACTTTCCACACATTTTCTGAACATTTTCCGAAGATTGCCGGAGATCACCAAAGAAGATCCGAAGATGTTTCGATCATGCACCAACAAATTTAAGTGTAGGTAAAGGGACAAAAGAAAAATGTTATCAAAAATGATATCTTCAAATGTGAGAATATCATATCTTCACATGTGATGATATCATATCGTTTTTATCAATTTGATACCACTCGGTATTTCGCTGGTGTTTATATAATGAAGACATTTATTTTTGTTTTCAGAACAATGGCTCCCTTTCAAACATTACATATGGAGGCATTTGCCTGCCTGGCTACTATTGTCCGGTAGGCACAGAAAGACCACATGAATTTCCCTGTCCAAATGGAACGTACAGTGACACACCCGGTCTTGAGAGAGAGGAGCAGTGCATTCCATGCGATCCTGGGAGATCATGCACAGGGGAAGGTCTGACAGCACCTAATGGAGTTTGCCGTCCTGGGTGGTACTGTGTTGGCAGGGCTACCACACCCATGCCTCTTGATGGTGTCACTGGTAACATATGCCCTGCTGGTTATGAGTGTCCAAATGGGACAGACACCTTCATTGATTGTAAACCTAGAACTTACAGGTATCTACACAGTTTTCAGTTTGTGGATTTGAATTGAAAAAATGATTTTTTTTTTGTAGTTTGTTTTTTTTCTAAATTCTGCTAAAACTATATTACAATTCCATACCTAAAGGTAAGTTAACTACAGTAAACTACTACAATACACTACTTGCCTAAGAACACAATTACAATGCACACTTACAATACAATACCTACAATAGCTTACCTACAATATGCTAATTATAATGAACTACTTACAATACATTACAAAGTTACATTAAACTAATTACGGTACACATGTAATACTTAAGAGTGTTACATTACCTACAATGAACTACTGACAGTACAAGCCTTACAAAAAATCTAATTAAAATCTTGCGACAAACTAATTTCAAAGTCTGCTTACTTTACAGCGCATCAAAATGAAAGTATAATTTAAAATAATTAGTGTCAAAGTTAAGCAATTTAATAGGACAAACAGCTGTCTGTGCCACTGCTACTGCCACCTCAAAAATGTAGTTTGCCTAAAATTGCACTTGCTCTGCAAAACTGTACTTCCATTACAATGGCCACCCCAAACTTTCAGTTTTTAACAATTGTGGATTTGAATTGAAAAGGATGAAAATGGCAATCCCAATTGACCCACGAGGGGTGCTTGTCTTCTCCAAGTTGTCGCAAGCATATTTTCACCTGACTACACCTACTAAATAGAACTCAAATTTAAAACTGAATTTGGCAAAGCATTCATTAATTTCTCTTTTGTTGTTGTTTCCCTTCTTCAGCAATGTTACTGGTCTCGCTGCATGCTTGATTTGCCCAGAGCGTTTCTACTGTGAGGGTGCAGAAGGAGACAGCAAGACACCCATTCCTTGTCCTAGAGGCCGTTATTGCCCTGCTGGTACTGGAAAATCGCCAGAAAAATGCCCAGCAGGAACATACAATCCACAGGTGAGTTTTATCAACTCCCTCGGAGATTTTATCAATGGCAAAATAAAGTTTCAACATTGTCTTGGCGTCATTATGTGTATAAGAGATTTTGACGATGCTGGAATAATTATTTTAATCCCCATTTCTATCGCTTTTTACTGTTACCCACCAACATTACAATGTTAGAATTTCGGTCATGAGAATCAGGTATATACCTTGTTCCAAATTTAATGCTATTAACCAGTTCTTGTATGGATCTACATTTGGTTTTTGACTTGACATTTTTTTTCTTTAAACTAGAATACCCAATTTTTTATCTCCGTATGGGTCTAATGATGGTATTAATTGTCCCTAATTGTTAAAGGCCTATTACACAAAACCCCCAAACAACTAAGTTTCACGACTCAAAATAGTTGCTTAAAGTAGCCCAATCATGGTATTTGGCAATGTACAAGGTTACATTTAAACTGAAGGAAACCTGAAAATAGTAGTTTACTAAGAGAGAAATAACACCAAAGAGATAATAATAAACCATACCGAAACAACGATGGTTAAGGATGGGGAAGATTAACATTGATAACAAATGATGAACTTTCACAAATTTAGGCAAAACTTTTTAAGATGGGCGACACATGATCTATCTCCTTTAAGAATCTGTTTGAAGCTATAAATGCCCACAATGCTGCTAGTCATTCCCAGAATTCACGAACCTTGTAATTCTTTTAGCTGGGCCTTGCTCGTGAAGATGAATGTCAGCCCTGTCCTGCTGGGAAGTTCTGTGGTGGAGCAGCAGTTGAATCATTTCCAAGTAACATTTCTGGAAACTGTGACCCTGGATACTTCTGTTTGCTGGGTGTGAACACACCACGCCCCAGTCGGAATTTCACAGGAGTGGGTGGTGTTTGTCCTCCTGGTGCTTATTGTCCTGAGGGAACCTCAGATCCCATTGGCTGTCCCAGTGGCACATTTTCAAATGTGACTCTGTTAGAGAGTGCTAGCAACTGTACACTTTGTTCTGATGGCCACTACTGTGAGGAAACCAACCTCACTGAAGCAACAGGTGAGATAGCAGTGTTTTGTGTCTGTATAGAATGGCAGGTGCACAGTATGTCGAGTTCATTAAAGGACAGTGATGAACCAAAAGTCTTTAATAACACTCACTTTCTCTTAATGTAATGAAGACCAATGAATAGTTGTCACCATGAGTAGTTTCAACTAAGAAAGATCAGTTTCGTAAACACCAGAAATGTGTAGTGTGGTCTTGTTGATGATTGCTCTTTCAAAGATATTTTGAAGTTAGAGTCATGCGCAACTGAACTAATTACTTGGTAGTGTTACTATTTGACTGCTGCTAGTCAGGTTATCATACTGTGAGTATCTGATTAGTATGGGTACCCAAATGGTGACAAATGAAATTACGTGTTTAGTCAAAACAGGTCATTTTACAGTTGTCTGCACCGTGACCTGGCCTTTGAAAGGCAGCGAGGCTTGAGTTGACCTTGTTTTGATACAGACCTCACTGCTTTTGGCATGTAAATACGCCTAGTTAGCATAAGAACAGCTTGATTTACACAACAAAAGCAGTGAGGTCTGTTTCAAAACAAGGTCACCTCCAGCCTCGCTGCCATTCAAAGACCAGGTCACTGAGCAGACAACTGTAAAATGGTCTATTCCTGAGCCTTTAGGCAAGGAAAATTTTTAGAATTGTGACAAAAGGTAAGTGAAATTATTACACTTACAGTCGTGGGTGTTTGACTTGTTTATGGCATCAAGAAATTTCGCGCCAAACTTTGCCATGGCAGTTTCGTAAATTCTCATGTGAAATTGCATAAAAAAATGCTGATATTTTGCACCAAAATTAAGGAGTAATTTTTAACATATCAAATAATTGGGCTTTTGTTGCGATGTTATTTTTTGTTAAGACTCTAAAAGATGATTGGTCACTGGGTTTGTTGAGGTTGTGAATAGGTTTTCATGAGCTGGAGAGTACATTGTCAGAAGTTTTAGAGGTGTTTTCTGATGTTTTGACTTACAACAATGATAAATGCTTTCGCTTGCTGTTAGCAAATAATATAAGTCGTACCATGGTAAGATTACTCAGCTCTACGTGTGTAAATGTTTGTTTTTTTGTTGCATAGGCAAATGTGCCCCAGGCTTCTATTGTAGGAGAGGCTCCGATACAGCAACACCTGCCAATGTGTCAGCCATTGGAGGACCTTGTCCAAAGGGCCACTTTTGTGAACTTGGCACTGCATTCCCACTGGGTTGTAGAAGAGGAACGTACAATCCTAACGAAGGAGAGGCTGCTTGCTTTATGTGCCCTGCTGGATATTTTTGTCCCGAGAATTCCACTGACTTCAACCCCTACCCCTGCCCCACAGGTCATTTTTGCCCAAATGGGACAGAGTATGCAACACAGCATCCATGCCCTAAAGGTTACTTTAATGGGGCGACAAAGGGTGTAAGTTTAGCAAACTGTAATGCCTGTCCCGGTGGAAAGTACTGTAATGAATCAGGACTCTCAGCACCTACTGGACTATGCGCACCAGGGTATTTCTGTGTCAATGCTGCCTTTACAGACAGACCTTTAGATTATGACAACTTTACATCTGGTGACTGTCTTTGCCCAGCAAACTCTACTGGAGGAGAGTGTCAGGAGGGATTTTTCTGTCCTGAAGGATCCCATGAACCCACTCCCTGTACTGGGGGATATTTCTGTGAAGGTAAAGGGAAGGCTACTGTCACTGCACAGTGTGACCCTGGCTGGTTTTGTACCAGTGGTGCTCAGGTCTCTCAGCCATCTGATGGGATCACTGGAGACATTTGTCCACAGGGAAAGTATTGTCCAAGGGGTACTGAAGTTCCTAAGCTCTGCCCCCAGGGAACATTTTCAAATAACACTGGGAACAGTCATGAAACAAATTGTGCTAACTGCACTGAGGGATCGTATTGTGAAACCAAAGGATTAACAAAACCAACTGCGCTTTGTTCTGCAAAGTTCTACTGTCCTCCTGGCGAACGTTTGGACAAGCAGAATTCATGCACCAAGGGACATTTCTGTGAAGAAGGCAGTCCAGCTCCTGTCAAGTGTCCCTCAGGAACTTACCAGGATGAAATTCAACAGGACTCTTGTAAACTTTGCCCTGCTGGTTATTTCTGTGACAGTAGCAACGATCTTAGCGATTTCTCAAGCTATAACTGTCCAAATGGGTTTTATTGTCCCAATGGAACAAGATATGCCACTGAGTTTGGCTGTCCAAATGGAACACATGGTAATGGTACCAACCTTTTCCATCCTGATCAGTGTGTCAAGTGCCCACCTGGAAAATTCTGTTATGGTAAGGGTGGATATTAATTTCTAGAACTAGCATAAAATAATGGTAGCTTATGTGTTTGTGTCAAAGTGAAAGTTCTCTTTTATGAACACTTAGTTAATTTTTGAATTGGTCCTTCATATTGTTCTTTATATGGCCCTTCTTTGTTTTGGGTGATTCTCTCTGGCTGGCCAATTTTTAGACCATCCCCCTTTATTTCCACCCTCATGCCTCTTTGTTTACTGGTCCTTGATCTTCCACTTGTCTCTTGTCTTCTTTTCCTGTCCCTTCCTTGAGCTCACATCACCAAAGTTCAGAACTTCAATTGGTTCTCGAAATTGTTATCTCAGTCAGCAGTAAGAGAATGCCACTGGCATTACAACCAGGAATTCTTAGAGCCTTACGTTTTTAAAGCCAAACACCAAAATCCAGGGCCTCATGAACAAATGTGAACTTGAGTTTCCTTGTCATTGCAGGTGCATCCCCCACTTTCACCGGAGACTGTCAGGAAGGATACCATTGCAGACTTGGTTCTTTCACTCCTACACCTACTGATGGATTCACTGGAGAGGAATGCCCGGAAGGACATTATTGTGTCAGCGGCACTCCTGCACCGGAAAGTTGTCCACCTGGAACATTTGCGAACGCATCAGGACTAAGGAGTATTCAGGAATGTACAAACTGTACACCAGGCCTCTTCTGTAATGGAACGGCTCTCACAGCTCCTAGTGGAGACTGCTGGCCACGGTATTATTGTAGCGGGAAGGCAGAACATCCAGCACCACAAGATGGCGTCACTGGAGGGAATTGCACTCCAGGGCATTTTTGTCCTGGGAGGACACCAAATCCTATCCCGTGCGTGGTAAGTGAAGAGGATGATTTCAATAGACATTTCAATGGTTTCTGGTGCCATCTTCTTTTTTGGGGGAAGGGTCAAACCCAGAAATTACAGTGAATGCATAGGGAGAATCGAGAATCTAGTGTCTGACAACTCACAGATGAATTAAAAAACTAAAGATACTAGGTAAAAGAATTTAAAAATCACATTTGAGGGAAATGGCCTCGCTAGAAAAGCCACAATTAAGGTTTTAATTTTTCCATACATTTGTCTGTGAAACCTAGTCACAATTCGCGGGAAAATTTAGAGACATTTGTACTAAAAATTAAAAGTGCAATTCCTCGCCTGACAGCAAATCTATGTTCTTCAAATTTTACGAAAAACACCCTCCCTGGGCATCGAACTTTTAACTTTTCCCATACATTTACTGCAATTTTTGCTGTGTTTGCACCCAGACATGACGGCTTCAGAAACCGTGGAAAGGTCTGTTCGTTCCATGACATATTGAGTAGCATATCCGATTTGGTGTCAGATGATTGATCTCCTCATTTTTCAAGCCTATTTAATCTTTTAACAACTTTGACATTCAACGATGTTTACCCTTGATAATGATGTTAGATACAACGAAACGTCGAATTACGTTGCTCCTTATATTTTCTGGTTAAATGCTTTAACAAGCAACTGACCATTTGATATATTTAATATTGTTAAGTCAAGTCTATCATTAGTTTAGGTTGGCTGATGCTATGAGCAAAGAATCCACACAACTCTGGAGGCTTGAATATCCGTAGATGTCATTGGAAGATCAAAAAAATACCTCCCAGTCAGGATTTTAATTATTTTCAGTACCTGTCTTTCCTCCAACGTATTAATATTGTGTTTGATCGCTCTAAGAAGTTCAAAGGTTAATGTATCTACATGATTTCACTAGGATGGAACGTTTATGAAGGATCCTCTCGCAGATGCATGTTTGGACTGTCCAGCTGGATTTTTTTGTGTGAATGACAAGAGTCAGGACCCAGAGCCTTGTCCCCGAGGATTCTACTGCCCGGCAAAAACAGGCTTTGACTGGAAACCCTGTCCGAAGGGAACGTACGGTGATTCGCCTGGTCTGGCTAACGTGACCAGTAAGTGTCCTTTCATAGCATTCTTGTTACACTTAAGCTTGATTCTAATACTTACACGTGGTGGATCAACATCGTTTGTGCTTAGATGCTGGTATATTTGTTATATTCTTGATTGCCTACTATACTTGAATACGTTCTATACTTTCTCACGAGAATAGGATCATAATCTCTTGACTCTCTATACTTTCTAATACTTACACTTGGTATATCAAGGTCGTTTGTGCTAAAATGCTAGCATCATTGTTATGTTTTTGAATACTTTCTATGTTAAGCAAGTGGATTATAGTAAACATACATTTGAATCGCGGGATAAATAGAGGTCTTCGTAGTTATGCACGCAACTTAGGCAGTTGCGAGTATAAGGCCTGAATAAAATTAGATATAAATGGGATTTGAACCCATGTCCTCTGCAATACCAATGCATTTCTCTGACAACAAAGCTATCGATCAGCTGAGAGCTGGTCTTGTTGTGAGTTAGACACTCGTTGTACACTCGTAGATAGTGTACAAATGCAAGAGAACGTATGTTGTGTCAAGAACTGGGAAATTATGGCATACTTTAACTAACCTAAAATAGCGGGCCTAAAATAACAGTTGCTTGTTCCAGGTTGTCGTCCCTGTGACTCTGGCCGATTCTGTGCTCATGAAAATGCAACAACTGTAAGTGGGGTGTGTGATGCTGGCTTCTTCTGCCGTCGTAATGCTGAATCAGCCACACCTAGTGCAAGTCAAGATTCTGGACCATGTCCAGAGGGCTTCTACTGTCCTGCTGGCACAGGAGAACCAGACGAATGTCCCAGGGGCACGTTCTCTAATGTGCAATTCCTGAAAAATGAAAGCGAGTGTCAGAAATGCACAGAAGGTCATTATTGTGGAGAGCTTGGCCGCAGGAATGTCTCTGGACCTTGTGATCCTGGATTCTATTGTCTAAAGGGATCCAAGATCCCTAACCCACCGAATGTAACAGAGTCCGGAGGACCTTGCCCCATTGGCCATTATTGCCCAGAAGGAACATCCTATCCATTGGGCTGTCAAGCTGGAACATACAACGACCGCACAGGGCAGTTTGAATGTGAGCAATGTTGCGCTGGTTTTTATTGTCCTTCCAACTCAACAACATGCGACCTGGAGTGTCCCAAAGGATATTACTGTCCTCCAGGAACTGAAGCACAGTTTGATAACCCATGCCCCAAAGGATATTTTAACAATGAGACACAACAGCAGAGCTTGAGGTTAGCACATGTCCTAGATGTATGATTGAAGCATGAAAAGTTACTTTAAAAGTCATTTAAAAATAAATTAATACGTTAGTGAACAGCACTTATGGCCTGTACCCAACGCAACCAGCAGTAATTGTTGATGTGAAGGGGTTTATTCATGTACGACTCGAACTCTTAACTATACATATCATTGCCAGAAGTTTCTACAAGAAAATGATACAAATTCGTTACATAAAGAACAGAAATACCTACAGACAGCATTTGAAATACGAGTCAAAAATGATTAAAGGTAACGTTTACCTGACGATTTGGATACGGTGACAAATGGCAAGAATGAACGTAACGTTGCTTGTTCAAACGTGAACGAACCATTTAAATCTACTACCCCACACAAAAGTAAAATTTTTCAAACATTGCCGAGGTAGACTTGGCAACCGTAATAGAAAATAACAGGGGATTGGCTTCTACATGACCAGTTACAAAGGGACAATCGTTCTCATTTGTTGTATCTTTGGGCATGTTTTTGGAATGAGATCAAGAATCTGACTAGCAAGTTCAATAGTAAACGTTTCAAACGTTGTTTCATTGTAGTGGCTGTACTCCATGTCTGCCTGGCAAGTTTTGCGGTAGAGCTGGCCTTGAGCAACCAAGTGGCGATTGTGCAGGGGGCTGGTACTGCATACGAGCGGCCTGGTCTGACAAACCGGTTGATGTGGGCGTCCTTGGATACTGTAATGCTACAAATACGAGTGGATGTTTCTGCCCCAATACAACTACAGGGGGTGTCTGTCAGCCTGGGTTTTTGTGCCCTAACGGGTCACGAGAGCCAATTCCGTGCTTGAAAGGTACGACAAATCCATTCAAATCAAGTTCTTTGTTTTATTGGGTTCACTAACTTAATTTGGGAAGTTGTTAGATTGATTGAACACAGACGCAGATTATATAAATGAGTTATTAATCGTGGTGGCATAACTATCAGCTGAGATAATAAGATGACGTTGCGAATCACAAGAAATGTTTGCTTGATTTAGAGAATGAAGACGTAAATTACTAGTAACATTTAGACCTGACATGTCTCTAAGTGTCTCAGATTAGAAGTACTACACTTCAATGTGTTCGGATGCCTTTTAAGTGACTCTTAGAAAGTGACCGTTCCCTTTACCCACTGGCTCCCTATTTTTCATTTCCGATTGTCATCTAAAACAATGTTATCCGCATGCATCATTCTTGTCTTACTTATTTCAGGGCATTTCTGTGATGTGGCGGAACTGTCTAATGTCACTGGTCCATGTGATGCTGGTTATTTCTGTACTGAGGGGGCCAAAGTTTCAGATCCGACCGACAATGTCACCGGAGGGATTTGTCCGAAAGGCCACTTTTGTCCTGTCGGAACATATGATCCAGAAAAATGTCCAGAAGGAACTTATTCCAATTCTACCTTCAACCAAAATATAACTGGCTGCCAGCCATGCCTGCCTGGGCGTTATTGTGATGCTAAAGGTCTTGAGGAGCCATCTGGGGAGTGCGATCCTGGATTCTTCTGCCCGGGTGGACAGAAAACAAAACGACCTACAGAATATGTCTGCACACCTGGCCATAGTTGTCCCACTGGAAGTGTTGATCAAGAAGCTTGCGACTCTGGTACCTACCAAGATGAACACCAGCAGGCGACATGCAAAACTTGCCCTGCAGGTTATTTCTGTGATGGAACTATTCTCAATGCTACTCACTGTACCCATGGTGTTCAGTTCCCAGAGCCTTGTGTCACAGGACACTATTGTCCAAATGGAACTAAATTTGCCCAGGAGCACAAGTGTCCACCGGGTAAGATTCAAGCTTAATGTATTCCTGCATACCAAAACTGAATATCACTAAGCTCTGACATACCTCTTTGCATGGACCGCAATCCAGAGTCAACCTATGGGACACATCTATAGTTTGACGAACAAAAAGTAACTTTGTATTTCCAATATAAGCATGCAAATTTATGAACTAAGTAGTAAATCGAGGGTGGTATATTTTGTCCTTACGTGTTTCAAATGGCATTCTTGCAGGAACGTTCAATGACAAGACACAGAGAAGAAGCGTTGATGAATGTACTGATTGTCCTGCTGGCAAGTTCTGTCAAGGTGAAGGGAATGACTACTGGACAGGTGACTGCTCCGCTGGCTTTTACTGCATTGGTGGAGCTGATAACATGTCTCCTAATGATGGTGTCACTGGAATAATTTGTCCCAAAGGGTGAGACTGTTGTAAATTACTACTCTGTAAATATCTTACAACCTTTCACTTTCAAGCTTGTGTTAAATTCAGGACAGCTTGACAGTTCAATTCACCATGCTCCTCCGGAAATCACAAAGAGGAATCAATCAACACTTTACTTAAGAATGGAAAAGGATACTCGAATACTCAAACTTTTACAGTAAACGGGCAATAGTGTATCCCAGAAGGGTTTGCCAACAATTAAGACGTAGGTGGAAAATGATAATTTATAATTTCTCCTGCAGTCATTTGTGGGCACCTTGTTCTTTGTAAAAGAAAAAAGGCTGAATCCTTGTAAACAGCATTGCGTTATTGGTGGAATAATGGTTTATTTTACCTCCTACAGTTATTACTGTCCACAAGGCACAAACGTGACTATCCCGTGTAAAAAAGGAACATATGGACCCACTGAACAGCTTGGCTCTCAGGCTGAGTGCAAGGGTTGCGAACCAGGAGAATACTGTGCAAAGGATGGACTCAACCAGACGTCTGGCAACTGTTCAGCAGGCTTCTTTTGCCGATTCAATGCCTCTGTTAATGAACCTACAGATGGTGTTACTGGTTAGTAATTCGTGTATATAATTAAAGTTTGTTTCAAAATTGTTTTTTTAGCTGTAATAGGCCATTTCCGAGTTACCTTGTGCCTCTGTTTCAAAACGAGTCTTTGTGCGAAACCTTCATATGAAAATGAGTTTGATTTGCATGAAAATGAACCTGTAAGGAGGAGCTCGTTTTCATATGGATGGTTTCGCCCAAAGACTCATTTTGACATAGAGATAAAAGGCTACTATGAAGCGGCCTATTAATTAGGACTGATAATACTCCGCAGTTCAAATATTCTTGTGCCAGGGCATGAGTACAAATGAATTTAGGCGAGAGTGATAGCTAGTGAATTGAATTAAAATTGTACTGTTTATCACTGAAATATTTTTCTTTGCTTTTACAGTCACATCGAAAATGCAGGGTGAAACCCACATTGTTGTGTTAAGAAAATGAAAAGTTCGTTTTCCTGCCCAGGGGACCCACAGGATTTCAGTTGCTGATCATTTCATTTATTTCGTCTGTATTCTTCCATTCCAGCCCTTTGAAACTTTCTTCCTGCTTCTTTGACCTTATCCTCATGCAGCTTGGTCTATGCCTTGCACCAATACATCTGACTTACTTCTGTGCGTCGTTTAAAAGGAAGCGACTTAACAGGATGGAGTCGACTCATTATGGTTCCAACGTCTAAAGTATAATGGGTTTTTTTTCAGGTGATGTTTGTTGGATTGGGCATCACTGCCCCTCTGGTACAGCCATACCAATACCTTGTTCACCTGGAACATACATGAACCACACACAAGCCGACGAGTGTTACACCTGTCCTGCAGGTCATTACTGCATTAACAGAGTGACTCCAGAACCTTGCCCTGCTGGTAAGGACCATTTACATGTCTTCATGGTCATTGTTCCAATCAGTGAATGTTTTCCTTCTCACATGATAGTTTTTTCTGTGTACATAGGTTGGTACTGCCCCGAAGGTACTGGACATGACTGGCAACCCTGTCCCAGAGGAACGTATAGCCCAGTTGAATTCTTATCCAGAGAGGAGCAATGCAAACCATGTGACCCTGGCTACTTCTGTGCTTCCCTGAACGCTACATCAACTTCAGGGCAGTGTGATGCAGGGTTTTTCTGCCATAATGGTTCTGACCAACAGCAGCCTTCTGGAGGCAACCGAGGCTATGCAGGCATCTGTCCTAGTGGACATTATTGCCGACAGGGTGATCCACGGGCACCAATAGCTTGCCCTGCTGGCCACTACAATAACAGAACACATGCTGACGCTCTTGGAGATTGCAGGAAGTGTCCTGGTGGACTGTACTGTGAAGAGGATGGTCTCACTTGGCCAAGTGGCCCTTGTGATGCAGGATACTATTGTATAGAAGGGGCAGTGTTTCGAAATCCTGACAACATCTCAGACACTGGGGGTCCTTGTCCTCCTGGTCACTTCTGTCCAGAGGGATCGCCATCCCCATTTACCTGCCCTGGTGGCACGTACACCTCCCAGTGGAAACAGAGTCAATGCCGTGTTTGTCCTCCTGGTTATTTCTGTCCAAATGCTTCAACCAACTTCACTGAATGCCCTCAAGGTTCCTTTTGCCCCAATGGTTCTACATCAGCTACTCCATGTCCGAAGGGAAGCTATAAGAACTACACCTTGGGTGATAAGCTTGACGATTGCAAATTGTGCCCAGTTGGAATGTACTGTGAGTTTAATGGCATGCCTAAGCCCTCAGGCTTGTGTGCAGGTGGCTGGTATTGCACTGGTGGATCTTGGGAAAGGATGCCACTCAACATCAGCGATATAGCAAATGGTTCTGCTGTCTGTCCCCTGATTGGTGAAATTGGTGGGTTTTGTAAGAAAGGCAGCTTCTGCCCAGCAGGATCCCATGAACCATTACCATGCACACCGGGCTACTACTGTGAAGAAGATAAATTGGACATGGAATCTGGGGTTTGTGCAGCAGGCTACTTTTGCAATGGAAGCACAATCTATAGTCATCCTGTCAATCAAACTAATGGTGATCGATGTCCAAAGGGTAATTATTGCCCTACTAAAAGTTCCTATCCAACCCCATGCCCTCCAGGTACTTATGCTGACACTGAATACAACCAGTTCAGGAACAACTGCAAACCTTGCATTGCTGGTAAGTTCTGCCCAACTTATGGACTGGACTTTCCTGCTGGAAATTGTTCTGAAGGATTTTACTGTCCTGCTGGGGAGACACAGGCAAGCCCACCAGACAAGGAATGCCAGCCTGGTCACTTCTGCCCCGAGGGTAGCGGACTTCACAATCCATGTCCTGCTGGGACATACCAGCCGTATGCCAGGAAAGGTTTTTGTTATATCTGTCCTGCTGGAAGTTATTGTGATCCTAATGAGGCAAGACAAAACATGTCATGTGAAGGGAATGTCTCTTGTGGGGTAATCGCTCCATCAAACTGTCCTGCTGGATATTACTGCCCCAATGGGACCAAATGGGCCCGGCAGTATCCATGCCCCGTGGGAACATTTGGAAATGTCACTAATCTCATGGAAGAGGACCAATGTACACAGTGCACAAAAGGATTCTACTGTGGTACGTCAGGTATTACACGGCCAACTGAGGAATGTCATGCAGGGTACTACTGCATTGAAGGTGCAAGTGTACCAACTCCCAATGATACTGTAACAGGTGCCCCTTGTCCAGCAGGGTCGTTTTGCATCAGAGGATCTCATAGACCAGAGCCATGCCCTGTTGGCACCTATGGACCAAGCCAGAGACTGCAAAGCCGTTCAGGTTGTGTTGATTGTGATGGAGGGAAGTACTGCAACTATGAAGGATTGGCAGCTCCAAATGGTTCCTGCAATCCTGGATATTTCTGCGAGATCCGTGCTGTCAGACCCAACCCTGTCACTGAATCTCAGGGTGGAGGAGTGTGTCCCAGGGGACATTACTGCACAAGAGAAACAACTACTCCATTCAAATGTCCTCCTGGCACGTTTAACAATCAGACCCGTGCAACAGAGCCTTCAGACTGCACTCCATGTACACCAGGGCGGTTCTGTGAGGGCTATGGTAACACTAATCCAGATGGACTGTGTGATGAGGGCTGGTACTGTGAAAAAGCTGCATACTCGAGGAGACCTGTTCCTGAAGTCAATATAACCTTTAACAATGCCTTGGACTTTACATGCCCTCTCTACTCGGTGAACTTCACTGGAGGCATTTGCCCTCTTGGTCACTTTTGCCCTCAAGGTTCTTCTGAACCGAAACAGTGCCCTAGAGGTAGCTATTGTGGTCAGCTGGGGCTTGCCAGTCCAGAAGGAAACTGCACAGCTGGTTACTATTGTGATGGCGGTGACATAATTTCCAATCCTAGGAACTGTACTGCAGGATTTTATTGTCCAGAAGGAACAGAAATAGAGGTTCCTTGCCCCGTAGGAACATTTTCCCCTTATGAAGGCAAATCAAAAGAACAAGACTGCCTAAACTGTACAGCTGGGTATTACTGTCCATTGCCTGGGAAAACAGAGGTGTTGTTCCAATGCATGCAAGGCTATTACTGTCCAAGCGGGTCAAAACATAATGCCACCGTGATATGTCCTAGAGGAAGTAGTTGTCCTACTGGAAGTGGACAACCTCAGAATTGTGTTCCAGGGAAATATCAAGACCAAGAAGGACAATTCCAGTGTCGTGTTTGTTTAGCTGGATATTACTGTGACCCAGCTACGAATCTTACTGGTGTTATCTTTCCAACTAAGTGCACAGCTGGCAATTACTGTCCCAGTGGAACAAAGACTGAGAAAGAATTCCCCTGTCCTGCTGGTACATACAGTAATGAGACTGGCCTTGAAAGGTCGTCAGACTGTAAGCCTTGTCCACCTAAGATGTTCTGTGGCTCCCCTGGCTTGACCAAACCTTCTGGAGCTTGAGCAGCAGGTATCTGATACTTTATTTTGTTTATTGAAAGGAACATATTTAGCTACAGGGCGTGTCTCTGCCAAATGGCAGAGAGGCAAATGATTATGTCAAGCTTGTTAGGGTAGATCAAACCTCGCCAGAGGTTTTTTTTTTTTTTTACCTCACCACAGGTTACAAGTGTAACATGTGACAGTTGTTACAATTCTAGCTTGGCTAATAAATTATTTATTTATTTTTCAATCTCGGTGTGATTTCCTTTGTTTTATCAAAGCTTTGGTGCCCAGTTAGATTTCAAGGATACTGAAATCGGCTTGTTGAGCATATTCTCCGCATGTTTTAACAGTCAGTCACCGTTTGTTAGTTAAGTCGAGGGGTTTAGTCTCTTAATAAAGATGTTTATAATTTGGTTTGTTGCTGATTGATTTTAGAATGATATGTAAACGTAAAGTTTAAAGTTTTTATATATACTCTTAAACGACCTGTTCCCTCAACACACATTATTATTAACAACAGGAAAATACTTGTACCTATTGTCGTACCTTTTTGGTACGCTTCGGGGGCTTAGTAGGCAAGTTTGGTCGAGCTATGGTTCGTGGTTTGGTCAAGATACGAAGACAATACAAGCCACAGCATCCATAGCGAGACCAAACGGGTCTGATATGCCGTCGAAGCGTACCAAAAAAGGTACGATATTGGTATTTACTGTACTGACTTGTGATTGGCTAATTGTGAATTTGGGTACAGTAAAACTTAATGCAAGGTCACTGTTGCCTAATAATGTTTAAATCCTTGTCCTTAATCCATTCCATAATTGAAACATTTTTATTGTGCAGGAAAGCTCGATGTATAATAATAATAACATCTTTATAGGTTACTATTGTGTACTGAATGCTTCAACGTCAACACCAACCGATGGAGTGACTGGCAATGAGTGCGAATTGGGTGAATATTGCCCAGAGGGCTCATCAGAAGGAATCGGATGCCCAGCTGGTAAGGATATTGTTATTGTATGAGTCACTTAAGGCTCTTCAGTTACATATAGTTAAAGGCTTGTAAGAGGCAAGCATTACTCCTTTTTGTTGTCTTGGAAAAATTGAATGGTAGAAAAATTGTTTTATTCTGTTTTAAACGTGAAATTTCTAACAAGACTTAAGTGAGCTCAGAGCATTTAATAGAGAAAGCAAGTTGTTCTTTGGCCTTGGGGGAACGTGCAGCTCACAATTAATGTTTTGATCTTTCTTTTACAGGGACATTTTACAACCAAACTGGGCTACAAAATGAATCAGGATGCTTACCCTGTTCAGCAGGCTACTATTGTGATGCAACAGGGAACATAGTTCCCACCAAGAAGTGCCGGGAAGGGTTCTGGTGCAGGGGGGGTTCACCCGAAGAAATGCCCCTCAATCAACCTTATGGCACAGAATGTCCAAATGGCAGTTACTGCCCCACAGGCATTCCATCCCCCGTTCAGTGCCCTAAGGGAACATACCAGCCTAGCAAGCGTAAAACAAGAGTGGAGGACTGTGTTGGTTGTGACCCTGGCAAGTTCTGTAGTGAAACGGGCTTGAGTGCTGTGAGCGGCGATTGTAAGGCAGGTTACTTCTGCAGGGGTAGTGCAAACAAAAGTAATCCAGAGGATGGGGTAACAGGTGACGTCTGTCCTGTGGGCAGCTTCTGTGTTAAAGGCTCAATACAACCGCAAAGATGCTTCAATGGAACGTACATGAACCATACAGGTAACCATTGCTGATATGTGTGACCTACAGCACTCTTGAAACTTGAAACTTTTCGTGGAAGCTAACTATGCAAGTCTTCCAGCTGAGTTTTCAGATTTTTTTTTTGTGTTAGTTTGACGAATCTGATGGCAAGTCAAGATAATTCTTTGTAGCTGACAATCAATTTTCCTTAAAGGAATTACGTCACGGTTTGCACATTTTTGAAAAGTTTAGCCTAAATTTTCAAGTTCGCCGTTTGTAATGTAATCCGTTTTAATATTCTCCATCCTTAGCCATCCTTGTTCCTTTATGGTTTATTATTATCTCTTTGGTGTTTTTCTATCTTAGTAAACTTTTATTTTCAGGTTTCCTACAATCTAAAGGTAATTTTGAACGTGGCCAAAATAACTCAGAATAACGTGACTGATCTCCATCAGTTATTGGGCAAATTTTCATGCAGTGTTGCATGTTTTTAAAAGTTTTAATTTTGGAAACTTTGTAATGAAATCGATATTTTGACACTGTGTTTTTAAGGTTTCACTTTGTGTTTTAGGTGCTTCTTCCTGCTATAACTGCCCCGCGGGATACCAGTGTATCAAAGCTGTCTTACCTGACCCATGCCCTGCAGGATTTTACTGTCCCGAAGGAACTGGATATGATACACAACCCTGTCCTGTGGGCACTATTGGTAACAGAACAGGTTTGGCCAATGAGAGTGAGTGTACACAATGTCCTGGTGGATTTTACTGTGAGACGGCTGGTCGTTACACTGTCACTGGCAAATGTCAGGGAGGTAGGTCAAATCATTATGTCAAACATTGTAGGTAAGGTGACTTGCCCAAACCAGCCCAAACCACAGTTAATAGAGGGAAATGGTTAAGAAACCTGGCAAAATGCAAAAGGTGGTTATTTGTACTCATACAACTAACCGATAGAAGCATTGCAATTATGTAATTCATACATAGTCTATGAGCATAGAACAAAAGATTTGCAGGGTCAAGGACCTTCTATCGTAAATCTTAGTCTGTTTGTTTGCTTCTTTGATGTTTACCGGGCTTCTTAACCATTTCCCCCCATTAACTATGCCCAAACAGAGAGGGTGTTGTTCCAGGAATAACAATTGCACGAAAGAGGGTAAATGGAGTGTGAAAGTTGACGTTGATGTTTATTAAACGTTTTTAATTTCAGGTTTTTACTGTACATCTGGCGTGAATGTCAGTGCCCCTGATCAGCATTTCACTGGAATAGGAGGCAAGTGTCCAGTAGGGCACGAGTGCCCAGAAGGTAGCAGCACGACCCATCCATGTGACCCTGGATATTATGCGGCTGTAGAAGGAATGTCAGCTTGTGATGTGTGTCCTGCAGGTGGGTAAACTGTCATCACTACCATTAGAGCGGTTTTCTAGTGAAAGTCGTAAAGCTAAAACCAAAGTTATCACTCTAGCCAATCACAAAGGACATAGACAATACAATGAACCAATCAAAGCTCGAAGGAACTCCATGTAGCTGGCGTAAAGCGCGGGAAAACGCGTGCGAGTGAGTCGCGGTCTATTTTGGTTTTACTTCTGATTGGATGAAAAAGTGGCGCGAGTTTTTTAAGCAAATCCCGTGGCGTAGTTGATGCAAAACCAATCTCGTTTTGACACTCAAATGAAAACCGCTCTATCATAATATACACTTAATGCTAATTGATGTGAGGACGTTTGTAATTTTTTCAGTCATGTAGTAAACATCAACAACAACAACAAAAAGCTTTATTCCCTTGGTCTCAGACATATTTGACAAAGTTATATATTAATAGAGTTATGGGCCTGGCTGTCTAAAATAACTAGAGAGTTAACAAGGGCAAATAAACAGGTCTACAGGTAAATGAGTAATCATATGTAAGCTCAAACAATTAAGAATTTACTTCACTCCTATTAGTTGACTTTGCACTCGTTTAAAGGCTCGTGCAAGTTCAAGAATATTTTTAAATAGCAGACGTCGTTAAAATCCTGAGATAATCGCACTCACATTTATACCATTACCTATACTTACAGCCGTCTTTGTCGCAACCGTATCAGTTCATATTTTAGAATTCTTCCACATGACGTCGCGGTGATGTTTTTGTTCACAATAAGTTATCAACATGTGATATATCTTTGTCTCCAGGTAAATACTGCGATGGGACTACAGTCACCCCAGCGTCCTGTCCTAATGGACATTTTTGTCCGAATGGCACGGAATTTGCCACCCAGTATCCATGCAGACCAGGAACTTACAACAATGTCACTGACCAAACCTCTGAGGCTGCCTGTAAGCTATGTGATCCTGGGAAGTACTGCGAGGGTTATGCACGAGTGTGGCCTAATGACTATTGCGATGAAGGTTTTTTCTGCTCTGGTGGATCGTGGTCCAAGCGTCCTGGAGACATTGGTGTGGCCAATTACGATAATGCAACAAGCCCCGCTGACAGTTGTTACACAGTGTTCGAATGTGTGTGCCCAGCATGGAACAAAACAACAGGTGGAACAAAAATGCTCAGTCAAAATTATTGTCTTCCTGCTTTTGAATCATAATTAAAATTGAAAATAATTTTCCGTACTCGGACCGCAATAAAAATGTTTCATGCTGGCGAAACTTCTAGTTTATTAGAAACTAAAGGAACATCTTTTTAGGAATTAATCAGCTGTTGGTGAACATTGCCAGCTTACGGAACATTCAGTGGATTGCAGCGAAACAAAATTTCTTGCCACAGAAAGCAGCACGTTCAAACGTCGCATAAGACAGGCAATTGAGATCCTGCTACGAAAGTCCTCTTTGAATAGAGACAGTGGCTTCGCATTAGCTAAAATGTGACACTATTTTAGCCCCCTCAAGAACCTAATGAACAGAATATAACCCTTCTCAGCATTCACATTTTTGTGGCTGATGAAGTTCGGTTGAGCCGATCAAAATATTCCACTTTTTTAAATGTTTCATTGCACCCTAAGTACAGAAAATTATTTTGTATTTTAATTCATTATTCTCAAAGTGTGTAGTGCTAACCCAAGGGAGCTTATTAATCACGTTTTCTAATTTTCTTGCAGGTGACATATGTCCAGCTGGTTATTATTGTCCCAGGGGCTCGTCTCGTCCTCTTCCTTGTAAACTTGGTCAGTACTGTCCACACGCGGCGTTAGCTGAACCCGTAGGGAATTGTACCGCTGGATATTACTGCAATGACAGTTCAACTGTGCCAGATCAGTTTGATTGTCCAATCGGTCATTATTGTCCATCAGGAACGGGAATTCCAGTTCCTTGCCCCCAGGGAAAATTCTCTAACACAATAAAGAACACGGAACTTGCGGATTGTAGGGATTGTACAGCTGGGAGCTTCTGTGCTGGTACGGGAAATTTTGCACCAACAAAGGAATGCGCTGCTAATTATTACTGTCCTGGTGGACAAAGCACAGCCACACCTGGAGAGTACCTCTGTACAGCAGGTCACTTCTGCAAAGTTGGAACACCGCAGCCAGTCAGATGTGAAAATGGTACCTTCCAAAATGAGCCTGGCAAAAGCTCTTGTAAGACTTGTCCGGAAGGCTATTATTGTGATGCTACCAATGCGGCTGTTGTTAATGCAACATTATGTCCGCCTGGTCATTATTGCCCCAGTGGCACTGGCGATTATCGTGACTTCCCTTGCCCAGAACGTAAGTAGTCTTCCTATTCTAACACGAACAGCTAGCCTTTTGGGGTCTTTGATCCTTTGAAGCGATCAATGAGCATTTAAAGTAAGTTCGTGAGAATAACTCGATTGGAGGGAAGTTACCTTCAGGTGACCCATCAAACCTCTTCTAGCTGGTAATACAGTAAATGAAGACACCAAGCTGGCAACATTGTATTTTAAAATGTAATGCTAAGCTACTTTTCATCAGTTTAGGAAAGCTCTGTGCTTAGGTGCTGTCAGCTTAGCTGCTGTCTTTTAAGTGTCTTTAAAAGAGCTTCCCCTTTCCCTTCGTGGCTGCTACTGCAGTGTTCATTGGGACACTACCAACGACAAGCGTTTGTGCCAGTGATAAATAGAAAATTAAGTGATAAAACAACCTACACATGACTTCAAAGCGGTTGTTAAGGTCAGTTTTTACATGCCCTGTTTGTTAACTTGATTAACTGGATTAACTTGATTAACCGGCTCGGACTCTATTAGGTGTGACTCTTCAGCTGCTTTCTCTCCTATTCCAGGTACTTACAATGACAGATTAGGTTTGATGGCAATTGGAAACTGCACGGATTGTCCACGAGGAAAGTTCTGTGGCAGAGACGGCTTGACTCGGCCATCCGGCGACTGTTATGGCGGCCACTACTGCACGGAGCGATCAAAGTCTCCTGCGCCAGAAAAAGACCTTCTGGCCGTGAACTACCCAGACCATGTGAACTTCCCATTCCCATACCTGAATGATGCCTGCCCTCCTGGACATTTTTGCCCTAATGGTACCGATCCTGAACCCTGCCCGTCTGGTACCTTTCATAATGAGGGTGGCATTTCCAACAGAACGCAGTGTCACCCATGCCCTGTAGGAAGGTATTGTAATGGCTCGGGAACACTGAACGGCACTGCTCCTCCATGTGATGCTGGATATGTATGCACTGGGGGGTCTAGCCAGCCAAAGCCTACCCACCCATCCATGGGTTACATCTGTCCTCGTGGCTTTCACTGCCCGGCTGGTAAGTAAATAACCAAAGTTCTGCTTGGTTTTTATTTTCAGACTGCTTTTCAGTGAAATAGGAGAACACGCTTTAAGTGTTATTTTGCCCATATTTTTGCAAGAATCCTGATCGACTTTGTGAAAGTGTTTATAGTAAAAATAAACCACTCCTTTTCATTTGAATAAATCTTTATTGCGTTACTTAGGTACCCATACGGAGCTAAGCTGTCTTCCTGGTACCTATCAACCCAATTTGGGACAAGGAGAGTGTATCTCATGTGGTCCTGGCAACATGTGTCCATACCAGAACATGTCATCAGTCCAACCCTGTATGGCTGGCTATTATTGTCCCAATGGAACACTGGAGGCGTGTCCTGCAGGAACCTATGGCAATCGTAGTGGACTCTCTTCTATTGATATGTGCACTGACTGCCCTTCAGGGGTATTCTGTCAGGTAATGCTGAACTTGTCTGAGGCGCTAAGATTGATAGACTGTCTCCGTTCCACACCTTGTTCCCTCTAGCTTCCAGAGGAGATGAGTATTTAATGGTTAATGGAATTTTTTCTTAGAACAGTATGCTAGTGTCCTTAACTTAGATGTGTCTCTAGCTTCCAAACAGCTCGGTAGGTGATATTCCAGAGAAGATGAGAAGAAATCCTTTTGGGAAATGGAATTTGTCTTGGAACAGTATGCTGGTATCCTTAACCTTGAACACGAGAACACAAGGACACGAGTATTTCTCCATACGCACAGTCGAAACTCAAAGAGAACTGGGGAATTAATAACTAGCATGGGATACTTAATAATTATTCCACGAGCGCGCGTTGAATGTGAGATGCTACGCACCTCATTGGCTGTAAACATCTCATATCCAACAAGCGCAAGTGGAATAACTGTTTCATTAAAATCGCCCCAAAGCATAGAAAACTAAAATAAAATAATAAAAACGCCTCCACAAATTACGTGTACGCTCACCATATTTTAAGAGCATGCTATAATGGCTCATATACCATGATGGCTAAGTCAATGAAAACTCTTGAACTGCGTTATTCAATGATCCAGTTTTTGATGCTCTTGTTACCGATCTTTTCCAACCTCAGGACTATGCACAGACTGCTCCTAAAGGCCCATGTACGGCAGGTTGGTTCTGTGAAGGCAAAGCTAGTACCTCTACACCCACGTCAATTCCAGAGTACCCAAGAAATGGCCTCTGCCCTACTGGTCACTTTTGTATCCAAGGCACCCGGGCACCTGCCCCGTGCCCCCCGGGCACATTCCGAAACAGCACTGGAGCACGGTCTGTGGATGACTGCCTTGACTGCTCCCCCGGTTTTTACTGTGAAGGCTATAATAACTCATATCCCACCGGACCATGTGCACCCGGCTTTTATTGCCCCCAGGGGTCAAGAGCTAACGTGTCCAAACCCACAGGATTTTTGTGCCCTGTTGGCCATTTCTGTCCGGGACAAACTGCAGAACCAATGGAATGTGATGCAGGTTTGTCGACGGCTTATTTACGTGATGAGAATAATTTTAAATTTGATTGTTTCAGTTTAAACTATATTTCGCTAGATTAAATTTTCACACTCGATGTTATACAACCTTTTGGAACTACAGTCAACTCCCGATAACTCGAACCTTCAAGGGAAATTGAAAAAGATTCGAGTTATCGGGAATTGATAACAAATGTCAGGAGATAAGGAAAATACGGTGTTTACGGTCTTTCTATTCATACAGTGTACATGTTAATCAAATTGAATTATGGAGAAGTCAAGTGAAAATGGAACAATACATTTCTAAGTTACTGCATAAATCAGAGCGTATAAACGTAATGGCCTATTGCCCTGCTGGGTCAGCAATGGTGCAGCCTTGTTCTCCGGCATTTTTAAAGTTTCCGCAATTTTAAAAATACAGCGTAAAGCTCAGGAGAATTAAACTTCGGGACATTTGCGTTACTAAAGCACGTAACATAACGTAACGGACGTAACGTTTGTAACACGGTATAAATCACTTCAGTTTCATTGTACTGTACCGAGCAAAGATAATTACCTTTATGTAATAAATTTCCAGGTAATCCAGGTAAAGATCTTTAATTTACTTTTGACAGGTTCTAATCAGCACAATAAAGGTCAGCCAGAATGCGACCTTTGCCCTGCAGGCTATTACTGTCCGATCAAGACCTCCATTCTAGAGAAGTGTCCCCCAAGGCACTACTGTCCAGCCGGTACCACTGTACCTCTTACCTGTCCTAATGGGACCTTCACACATGACAACATGACTGGCTTAGCAAACGCTTCTCAGTGTCTGCCTTGTATTACGGGTTTTTACTGCCGCATCGGCCAGGTGGTGGCACCTTGTGACGGTGGCTATTACTGCAAGTCTGGCAGTCCCGACCCAAACCCATCCGGTTATTGGTTTCCTGTTGAGGCCGCTCCATGCGCCGAAGGATATTATTGTCCTAATGGTACACTGCTGCCTATCCCATGCCCTGCTAACACCATGAAGAATTACACTGGTGGCTATGGCATACTCAGTGACTGTACTCCTTGCCTAGCTGGAAGATACTGCCTAAATGGTAAAGTTGATGATGCTAATGATGACTATGTTGATGATTAAATTAATTTTTTATTGATTTAACTTATAATATTACTTCTGAGTTCAATTGAGGTACAGTTTAACCTCCATCCCGCAGAGAAAAAAGTGTGTTACATTACTTGCTAAAAATTTCGAACGTTTAATTTTCGGACACTTTTTATCGCATTTCGGACAAATTTCGGAGAAAAAATTCGGACACTCTGCTGAAACATAACTAAAGTAAATTTAGACGTACATAACTGAAACACGAATGAGGCTGAAACAACATCTGTGAAAATGATCGTTTTACTGCACCCTCAAGGTTTTACAGATATACTGACGAAAAAAATATCACAAATTGTATCAAGCCGATAGGTTTCTCAAGCAGTGTCTCGACTAGAGCTCGCACCATAAATGAATAAAGATCTTAGGAACTACTTTTTGTAAATATTTCGGACGCTTAAAAATTTCGGACGGTTTTATTTTCGGACTCTTTTTTCTGTTCGAAATTAAACTCGTGCGACCTTTTTTACAAGTTATGTGTAAGTGTCAACTTGATTTTTGCATGTTTCCTTCAGGAACCGCTAATGGTGTGTCTTGTCCGCGTGGAAAGTATTGCCCCCGTGGAGAGCCTCCGATAGACTGTCCCATTCACAGATACCGCGACATTGTTGGTGGCAAAGACTTGAACGACTGCTTCCCTTGTCCTGCTGGTTACTGGTGTAATCTTACAGGCATGGTCAACTTCAACAACAGCAAATGTCCTGTTGGGAAATTTTGTCCAAGCCAACTTGGGCCCGTTCTCTGTGGGGCAGGACGTCGGCGAGTCACCCCTGGGGCTGGAAGCAGGAGTGAATGTGATTTATGTCCCGGCGGCTACTACTGTCCTAATGATACAATAAACGTGCAGGGAATACCTTGTGATGCCAGGTATTACTGTCCAGTGGGTTCGTCACTGCAGCAACTTTGCCCAGGAGGAGCATATTGCCCCGGTACAACTGCCACACCCGTACCCTGCCCAGGTATGTGCTTATACGAGAATCTTTGCTGACGTCATTGTTTACATTTTTCCGTATTAACGTACGACTTTGCCTAGAAAAGTCATCACGCTAGATACGAATTGACTACAAACATTTAAAGAGCTTGTGAAACGTAGGAATTGGTGAAAGTTTTGGCTTATTGGGTGAAACATTCGAGGAGAAATTGGCCTTCAAAGACTGCAAAATGTTTGGGTGGGAAAAGCGCTAATGAGCTCATACATTCTTTGTAAAATGCTGAGTTCTTAAACCCGCGTCACAAAAAATATTCAATACATCGGGCTCAAGTACCTCGGGACAGTTAATCGTGCTGTGCCCTTTCATTATTCAGAAGTAATGTTTTTGTAGCTCTATCAGAAACTGTATCGCATATGCTAATGAGGCAAATATTATGAACAAAGATTCCCCTATTACTATATTACTAGTGGTGTACCAAGACACTGTTCACATATGTGTACATAAGCAGTTTACAGTTGTGATTATTCTGTGTTTCTCAGGTGGATCTTACTGTCCTAATGGATCATCCGTGGATTTTCTGTGTGAGTATCCTTACTACTGTCCACCAAACAGCACCCAAGAGTTAGAGTGCCAGCTTGGCTACCAGGCCTTAAATACCTCTGGATTGCGAGACTATCATGAAATACACTGCGAGATTTGTCGAGGAGGGACATACGGCAATCATCCTCAGCGGCTGGTTTGTGATACCTGCCCAGCAGGTTTCTTCTGCCCTAATGGCACTAAAGGACCTTTTGACAACCCCTGTCCAGAGGGGGCCTATTGTCCTGCTGGGTCAGCAGTGGCGCAGCCTTGTTCTCCTGGTTCCTATGGTAACCGTTCCGAAGCAACAGCGCCTTCTGATTGCTACCCCTGTCCGAGAAACACGTACACTAATTTAGGCAATCAAACAGCTTGTCGACCATGTGGAAGCAGCTCTTTCTCAGAGGAAGGTCAGGCGGAGTGCACCTGTCGCGGTAAGAACAGATATTTTCAGGTATCAGATGGTTCGTGTGACTGCCTGGCTGGATATGTGTTTTATGGCACGGCAGATAAGAAGATAGAAGAGGGCAATAGTGACCTGGATTGTCAGCCTGAGGTTTGGAAACATGTCATTGATTCCAGTTGCTTTATAATTGTTGTGTTCCTATCACATCATTGTGCTATTGTTGTGTCTTTGGGAAAGATGCTTCACTTTCACAGTGTATTTTTTGATCCATGAAAACAACTTACAATGTTAATAAATGTTAAATGTTTATAGTGGTCGATGCGCTTAGCTATAACTAGCTAGTTCTTAGGCGTGCCACTTAAACTGAAAGAAAGGAATATTTCAAGTAAGCATAACAGGCTTAAAATCCTAATTGGCGGGAGGCAGACCAGTTGGCTATTTACAAGCATGACCGTGAGTTGAACTAGGGTCGACGGAGAAACAACTCCAGCTTAGTCGCCAGAGCAGGACTTGAACCTGCGACCCCACTCGGCCACGCTGCCTCCTTACTTATTAGCATCCAATTCATAGAGAATATAAGTAGTCCATTTTGAACCAATCACTGAAGCTCTTACTTTCAATGATCACCGGGCTTGTAACTCACGTCATTCACTAATAATGTTACAAACACTTAATCCGTAGGAGGATCCTCGATGTAGCAACAGCGAAGTTCGCAGAGCATCAGATCGACAGTGTGTCGACCCAGAAGAGGAAAATCAAAAATGCATTGAACGGTGTGGCAGTGAAAGGGCGACATTTGCTACTGATACAGGTGTCTGTTATTGTCCGTACACTGAGGACTGTAACGCTACCTGTGAGAGGGACAGACCCAAGTGTTCGTTACAGAGGCTTGCGGAGGGGACGCTAGTGATTCGTTACCTTGACGGCAGTGGAAATTCACGGCCTTTTAATATCACACTGGAATTAGGAGTTAACGACCACGACAATGACGAACATGAATGTCAATTCGTCTTCGTTGATTCTCAGCAGCCTGTGTTTGCGTGGGTACCAAAATCTCTGGACGAAGTGTCCGAGCAATTCGAGCCGTCCTCTACGCCGTCGGCGCGTAGACGTCGAAGGGCCGTTGGCGATAACACGACAAGTGCGCCGACTACTAGCAATGCGATCGCTAACCCAACATTGTGTCTGACGTACGGTCAAGCATTAACCTTCAAAATCGAAATCAACCCTCTAAACCGCACCGCAAGTCACTATCCACGATACCGCAAGAATCACCTATTAAACAGAAACGACGCGTTTGATTACGGCAACTTCAGGCAACTGCATTCTCTTGTACTCGACTCGAACAAGACCCTGGATTTCTTCATGCATGTGTTCACGCAAAATGGAACCTTCGTGTTTTACGATAATGCCGACCCCTTCCGAGAGACAATTGTGACTGTTGTCGAGCGAGGTTCCAGTTGTCCAACTAGCAGCGTTTCACCCACAACTCAGCAAACTTTGGTGACACTTGGAGTCAGTCGCCAAAACGTAAGTGGTTGTCGCTAGCAGGTCATTGATTAAGGATTGGCAAGATATTAAGTGTCTGGAAACATGAATTCAGTACATTCGAAAAGGTCATGGACTTTTGGTGAAAGCAATTTTTTTTTTCAGGTTTCATTCCCCCGTGTTAAAGGAGCCACGTCACGGTTTTCACATCTTGAAAAGTTTAACCTAAATATTTCAAGTTCGATTTTAATACGTGTTAATCTTCTCCATCCTTAGCCATCCTTATTGCTTATGCTTTATTATCATCTCTTTGGTGTTTTTCTATCTTAGTAAACTATTATTTTCAGGTTTTCTTTAATTTAAAGGTAATTTTGTACGTGGCCAAAACGACTCAAAATGCCTTGACTGAGCTCCTTTAAGTAGATCAGTTGTTAAAATACTACACAAGTATTTGATTCTCGGCTCTGACAAAAGCCAGACTTAATACGACGAAAAGAGTAGGGCACGTAGTTCCCGGTGTTGTGGTCTGGCCTTGTCTGCGCGTATTCACTCACCTGTCCAGCTGTCATGCAAATTTAATTTAAGTGTTTACATAAGAAAAGAGTTGAACTCCCACAGGATTGGTTTGGTACACCAACATGGCCGCCGTGTCATTGTTTTGGAACACCAATATGGCTGCCACGACTTTATGTGCATACGCTTCATTAGCATTACATTATACATTTATTGGAGTCAATCGAAGGGGCTGTGTCACATACCGTGGGTAANCTTGGACAGAATTGTCCAAGGAAAAAATTACTATGACTATGAAACACGCAATTCACGTGAACTCTGTTTTGTAATTCTAGCCAACTAACCTGTCTCCAGACTGGCCAGTAATCTGGGGTATGATTGTGTTCATGCTGATATGTATTATTATGCTGGTGATCGCTGTCATCATATGGCGCCCAAAGAGCATTGGACGATATCCTATCCGAACACTCAGACCCAAATACAAAGCTCTTGGTGCACCTGTTCCTGTTGTCCCTATACCAGGTACATATTTTGTAACCTCTGGTTTGTCACACAAGTCAGTTTGATGATAATGAATGATAATGAAACTTTCAACGTTTTGATTGTTACTTGATTATTAATAATGGTAATGGGACTGAGTGGAGTCCAATTCGGTCTGTAATCATACGAGTGATTGACAAAGTCGAACGACTCGCGAAGCGGGAGTCCGATTTTGTTAATCACTCGTATGATTACAGACTGAATTGGACGACACGATGTACTGTTACCTATAAATCAATCATAACCACGATTACAATTTCCCAGAAAAGTAAAAGTCATTTGAAAAATTGCTTTTAATTGTCATTCTTAAATATGATAATTACAAATATGGAGAATAGCTTGAAAAATGGCTGTTAAGTTTCTTTGAAAACAGGCAACGGAGATAAACCTTGACAATTTTACAAAGTCACTCATTTGAATTGGTTACTATAGTGACTGTAATCAGTGTTGTGATTGGTAGATTTAGTCGAGAAGACTTAGAATGATTGGCTAATGTCCGATTACAGATGTCCGATTATAGCCAACTTCCCGATTACACTGTCGGATTTCAGCTTTGCAGATGAATATTAGTGCAAAATACAGTATATGTACCAATCACACCGAAGAAAATTGCAATTGTTATGATTAATTGTACACTAGGAATTGATGATCACGTGTATGACCTTGGCCCTCGTGGTGCGCCTGAAGGCTCGTCGTTTGAGTCCCCCAGCGTGAGATTTGAGCTGGAGAACTTCAACGTGCGTACATTTTATGACAAACTGGAAGATCAAACGCTGCACGTATCATCGCAGCTGGCCCGTCACCAAGCAGACCTCAGAGCATTCTACGACAGAATTAGCCAGCAAGCCGAGAAACTGAAAGGAATGCTGGACAGTATGGACGTGTCTGCTCTTATCAAAGCCACGAAAGAAGCAGGAAGAGCCCGGGAAGGCGAGGTATGAAGTGAAACGTCGTCACCGTATGTTAATAAGGAATTTAAGTAACCAAGACGGTGACGCCGAGGACAACGTCGATAACAAAACTGAATTTATATTTTACCTACAAATCTCGCAATACTCCAAAGTCATTTACTTTGTTTATCACTGTCAAAACTAACACGAAACTAAATCTGGAACACAGCAATAAATTTGAAAGAGAAATTTAACAAATAAGTCTTTGTAGTTCACGTTCTCCAGACAACGCAGAATTTGATCATTTCACGTTATTGTTTTGCAGAAGACGGCAAAGTAACGTACCAAGAATCATAACGCACGTACACAGCCATTGTTCCGCTCATTAAATATTTTGTTTAGCAACGTTGCCGTTGCCGTTGCCGTCGTGGCTTTCTTAAACTCCGTCATAAGAATTCGCATTTGTTTAGTGGTTGGTTGTCATGATCGACTGTCCGTTTAAATTGTAGGATGCTACTGAAGAGCAGCCGCAGTCAAGCGGTGTTGGTGAAGCTAGCAAGAGATATGGCATGACAGCAGGAGGTCAGGTCAGAGAGGAAGAGTTAATGGCAGCTCTTCAGATGCTGCTTGAGAGAGTGGAAAAGGGACAGTTTGCTATGCCAGGTTAGGCAGTTCATAACCAAGTGCTTAGAATTAAATTTACTTTAACAACAACAACGAAAACTTTATTTCATACCAGAGTTAGAAATTACAATATTGTAAAAGTAAAAACAAAAATGATAGGGGTGCTGGCTACCCGAAATAACCTAAGAATTAATGCCAGGAAGCCAGTTAAAAGAAAAGATATTATACATGTTTAGGTCAGGGACACAAAACAAACAAATAGACACATAAAAAATAGAAATAAACAAAGTTTAGCTAACTACCTGTAGACTAAAGTTCTTACATTGCAAAACAGTATTTTTATCCAGGAAGAGCGATGTACAGATATCCAATAATCTTTAATAAAGTGGTGTGCCATTTTCTTTTCAAACAAAGACAACGAAGACGATCTCATATCTTCATCGATGGAATTCCATCGTAAGTTTTCGTAAGTAAGTTGAATGACTTGGTTTTCTGTTTTGGTTTTGTAGCCGTAGTGTCAGGCACCAGCGTGTCTGTGCCAGGTGCCGGGATAGTTGTTATGGGAGGGGACAGTGCTACAGCCACCACGTCTTTCACCCAGCAAACAGCTGGGTACCCTGTGGTGGAGGTGCACGCAGGCGAGGCTGCTGGGGCACAGTGGCACATCAAAGGAACGAGTGACGTCAGCGAGTTCTTGCGTAAGATGAATGCAGAGCGCATGCACCTTGAGCAACAGATTGGACGGGAAGAGGAGACCGCTGTACACAAACTACTTAAAGAACAGGTAATGCTTTAACAGACAAAGCAGGTTTTCTTCAAAATTTGGATTCTGAGCGTGCGTTCTTTACCTACACACGAATCTGAAAGCTTTATTTTGCCTAAACTTTACCACTTTTGATTGACCTAGATTTAGCTTAGCGCTGGGACATAGAAGTACTCACAGTATTGGTATTTGGCACACGTTAAGGATTGACGAAATTATGTCATTTCTGGTTCAGAAATCCGTGTTACGTTAATCGCGTTAGTCATCAAAGGAGTACAGATTCTTTCTTGCAAAATTCATATCGCTTGGTTTATTTTCTTTTGCCAGACTAAGTGTGAATCTTTACCAAGGGGCAAGGAATTTTCTCAGCTATAATATTATACATTGTTTAGCTTGCAGCAAAACAGTCACGACTAAATGAACCCCGTGACGTTTTATTACTAGTGACTTTTAAACTTGGATAGTATTGGTATGGAACACTGGTTAAGGTGCTAATAAACAAGCGTGTTTGAATTTGCAGGAAGAGAAGCGGTCAGAGGAGATGAAGAGATTAGCCGAGAACTTAGCGGACAAACTCTCAGGTGATCTGAGCGAGGATGAAATGAGAGCAGTCATGGAAGACCATGAAAGACAAGTGGCGCAATTAGAAGGCCTGTTAGCATCCGAAAAAGAGAAACAAATGGCAGCACTGAGAGATAAACTGAGACGACGAAGAGAAGAAAAGGAAGCCGCCATGTTAAGGAAACAGAAAGAAGAGGTACAGACATGATATGAGTTAATCCCCGTCCACACTACGGCGGAGGAATTTGAAAACGCGGCTTTATTTCTCCGGTCAGGCCTACCGTCCACACTTATCCGTCACGAAAACGGAGCTTTTCGAAAATGCTCTTCAAACCCGAGAAATGCTGCTGTGCGTTTTAATGTGGACAGAAGACATTTTGAAATCGATGAGGTTACCATAAATGACCGGGTATTGTTACGTTTTCAAATTTCTCCAGCGTAGTTTGGACGGAAAACATTTGGTGCATATTCAGAGTGAAACCTCCGTTTTCAAATTCCTCCGGCGTAGTGTGGACACAACCTTAATGTTCTCAAGAATAATGATGATATGCACCAAACTGAAAATCTTGGAACAACTTATCCATTCATTGTTCAACAGGCAACACACAATAAGTCATCAATTCGAATTAAAAAGGAGAGCAAAACTTACAGTAAAGAGAATGCATGATCTTCTTAATTCTGTGTAATTTTTCAACAGGCCGAAAAGTCCAATATCCGTCTGGACGATGTTGAACCGCTGGCCAGCATAGATACAGTACTGAAGACTCAAGAAAGTGTCCAAGATGTTATTGTTCAGGAAGAGTCTATTGGGCATGCGCGAGCAGAGGAGCAGCAGTCCAATGAACAGGCAGAAGTGTATCGTCGCCAGCTTGGCGACAAGTTCTGTGCTATGGTGGTAAGAATCATTGCAAAGAAATCCCCGGGTGGGGTTACTCCCAGAAAAATCGGGTGTGGCCTGCTTCCCAAAACCCTTACCCTATTTAAGACCAAAGTCTGCGATTTTCCCTGCCCTATTTATGACCTGACCCTTAAATCAATATCCTGTTTTAGATCTGCCTTATAATAATTCCTTAGTTTAGACCAATATTAAAGGTAATGTTTATGTGCTTTTATTAAGTAGGATAGCTTCTTCTAAAAAAAAAAACATACCCAATTCAAGACTAGAGTACAACAACCATACCCTATTCGAGACCAAAATGGCCAAAATCGATACCCTGTTTAGGACCAAACGGCTTACAAACCATACCCGCCTTGGGGGCAACACATGCCTATATAGCCCATATGAGGGATTACCCTTCCGGGATCAAATCAAATGCTAAGTTTATGATCGTCCAAAACGTCCTTTAGAGTTAGATTTTAAATGGTTGTTGACATGACTGTCTTGTCAGTTGCCAAATGTAAAATTCTTATTTCTGATGCAGGTTGTTTACATTATTTTAAAACAGTCACAATAACGAATAACTGATCTGATAAAAGACCTGTTTTTCACCAGGATGACCTTGTCACTTCCGGGTCTCTGTATGCTGATCAAGCAGAACAAATCAAACGCGAACAAATGGAATTGGAAGAAAAGATGTCACGCGATCTAGCACAACAGCGTGCGCAACAGACAGCACTTATTAAGGAAAAGCTCGCGCAGAGAAAGAGAGAACAAATGAAGAAACTGAGAGAACAACAGGAGATGGAGAAAGCTAAGGTAAACCTGTGAATTTCGCCATGCGTCACGCACATTTCACGCACAGCAGCGGCTTGTGTTACTTACCTTGTCACACAACTCTTGATTTAGGTCACTGGTGAGAGCGGTGACGTAACAGCACTAAACCTGTGAAATCCACCACATGTCACGCATCTCACGCATCTCACGCACACCAGCGGTTACTTACCTTGTCACGTAACTCTTGATTTAGGTCATTAGTGAGGGCGGTGACGTCACAGCACTAATAAAGCAGCATAAACAGGAAGTTACTGCGCTGGAAGCAAGTTTTGAGGCGGAAGAGACGCGTCACACTGCAGAGATTAACAAGAAACTTGACGAGACGCACATGGAGAACGTGCAACAAGCCCACAGAGCCCTGCTTGAAAAGGTGAGCTGGAAACGAAACGCTTTGACTCCACCATTATGTCTCTTATATTCCGGGCTAAGCGAAATGCCAATGCCAGCTTTAAATTATTCCTGCGATATTACGCTTGATGAAACCGTTATGTAAAGGTTTTTAAAAGTCACGGTTTGCGCATCTGGAAACGTTTATCCTAGATTTGTAATCCGTGTTAATCTTCTCCATCGATAACCATCCTTGTTCCTTCATGGTTTATTATTTTCTCTTTGACATTTTTCTATCTTTGTAAACTACTATTTTCAGGTTTCCTTGAATTTAAAGGTAATTTTGTCTGTGGTCATAATAACTCAAAGTACCGTGATTGGGCTCCTCTAACTTTTCTGTATTGTCTATTGAAGGTTACAAGAGACAATTTGGACGCGGTACTTCAACAGCAGATTATGGATCAGTTCAGGAAAGATAACGAGGCGCTGCTCGGACACCTTGAAGAACGAAAACTGAAGTCTCTTGAAGACACCAAGGTAACAAAAAATGTATAATAGTCGATAAAAAATAAAATTGAATTCTCTTGTGCAAACAAGCTCTGACAAGCTAGGATACACTACTTTAAGCTGCAGTGAACTTTCGTTACTTGAATAACAGCAGCCGCGTAGCAGGCATTCATTTCCAAAAGCACGCGAAGGGAACGAATTAAAATGCGAGCGAGTTCGAAAAAAATAACGAGTAAGGCAAAACATAAATGCCCTTCCTCCCCAACCCCTCCCCCTTCACCTCCTTTTTTTGCTCACCCCCTCCCCACTTCTCCCTTTTTTTGCTAACCCCAGGTGCGCTCATTTCCTCGATCTTCCCGCCTGGAAAATGGAAAGGAAACGTCTGCTGCGCAGGCTAAAAACAACAGTTCTCTTTGTTTTAGTTGTTATAAGTAAAGCGGGGTACAATATATGTCCTCTTTGTTGGATTTTCCAGAACACGGCATATCAATGCTAGGCTTCATAACAGCATTATTAAATGACATACTTCTCTCACTAACCGACGAGAGTTCGCTGATTTAAGTCTGGTTGTTTTTCTCTTCCTTACAGGCCAAACTTGCTGCTCGTCGCGCTCGTCGTCAAGAAGAGGCGCGCCGTCAAGCAGAGGAGACAGCTGCCCAGCGGATATTGGAAGAACAGAGCCAGGCCATCGCGGCCAACAAACCAGTGGACGCAGATCACGTCATAGTACCTGAGGTCATTTTACCTCGTGAAACATCAGAAGAGCAGGTTCGAATAAACTTGTAATTTACGTCTGGTTATAGGAAAATCGTTGCCCACGTCATTGTTAACATTTTTCCTCATTAACATACGCGCATAGAAAGCATCATGCAAGACACGAATTGACTACAAACATTTAAAGAGCTGCTGAAACTTAGTAATTGGTGAATTTTTGACTCTTTGGGTGTAACATTCGAGGAGAAACTGGCTTTCAAAAACTGCAAAATTTCTGGGTGGCAAAATCGCTAATCCTCATACATTTTTTGTGAAATTTTGAGTTTTTAAACTCGCATAGCACAAGAAGTATTCAATACATCGGGCTCAAATTCCTTGGGACAGTTAATCCTGTTGTGTCCTTTCAACATTCATAATTTATGTTTTTGTAGCTCCATCAGAAACTGTATCGCTTAGGCAAGTATTGAAAACAAAGAGTCTCTCAGGCTAACTGGTTTTCTACAAGCTGGTTATAACAACTAACTTGACTTGACCTGTATTGACATTTTGCAAAATGTTTTCTGATGTTTTCTAGTGTTTGTTTGTTTGTTTTTCTTTCCATCTTCAGGCATTGCGAAACGAACAGGAACGCACATTGGCTGACATGCGTGACAGACACGAACAAGACACTCACAAGATGGACGAAAAACTTGAAAGAGAAGCGGTGGCGGAAGAAGCGCAAGCCACGGAACTGCTCGAAGCTGACAAAGAACGGAAACTAAGAGAATTGAAGGACAGGCATGCTGCGGAATTAGCTGCTCGCTCGAAAGATATGTCACCTGAGGAAGTACAACAGGTATTTGAGGAACGTTGTCTTTTGTTTTCTACAAAAATTTTCAAGTGTTGTTGTTTATAGTGGTCAATGCGCTTAGTTACACCTAGCTAGTTCACGGGTATGCCGCTTAAACTGAAAGAAACATATATATCAACTTAACATAATAGGCTTAAAAATCCCAACTGGCGGGAGGCAGACCAGTTGGCTATTTGCAAGCATGACCGAGGAGTTGAACTAGGGTCTACGGAGAAACAACTCCAGCTAAGTGGTCAGAGCGGGACTTGAACCCGCGACCTCCAGTGGCGCACTAACTACTCGGCCACGCTGCCGCCCTATAAAGTGGTGATAGGGAAATGACTGTCGGTTTTTCGGAACAATACCTAGACTTCCCCTAGTCAGTAGAGCATTGCGTATTCGCATAGAATTCCAGGTATTAACGTGGAATAAAACATCAAAAGCTAGCAGTTTGTGTTCCAGAGAGTCAGTCAGTCAACATCTTAGGCTGATATTATCGAGATCATTTGTGATGTTTGATATGGTCTGCAGCTTTTGGCAGCCCACCAACAAGAACTGGACGAAATAATGGAAAAGATGGACGTAGAAAAGCAACGGCAACAAGCTAATTTACACCAGAAACTGCTGGAAAGAAAGAAACGAAGACAAGAGGCGCAACAACGAAAACAAGAACGAGAGATGGCCAAGGAACTGCTGGAGCAAAAGAAAGAACTTGCTGAAGTGCGCACACAACATGTAAGTAACTTTATGATTAGTAACTGAGAAATGGAACAAGTACGAGTAGTCGTTCTTTATAAATAGGGAGTATAAGAAAACCAAGACGGCAACGGGAACGTCGCTAAACAAAAAGTTTAACGAGCAGAACAATGGCTGTGCACGTGCGTGCCGTTATAATTCTTGGTACATTTCTTTGCCGTCCTCTGCACAACAACGCCATGAAATGACCAAGTTCTAAGTTTTCTGGAGAACGTGAACGACGACGGCTAATTTTTTAAGTTTCTATTTCAAATTTATCGCTGTGTTCCAGATGCAGTTTCGTGATAGTTTTGACAGTGACAGTGAAACAAAATGACTATAGAGTATCGCGAGATTCATAGGTAAAATATAAATTGATTTCGTAATCGACGTTGTCCTCGGCGTCGCCATCTTGCTTACTTAAACTTCCTATTTGGTTATACCTCATTTGGTTAACAATTTCTAAACTCATAAGAAGTTGAAGCTGTTCGTCTCTTCTTGTAGTTATGATATGGTAGCAGTGTATTTACTATAGGTTAGCGCGCATTTATACTGAACGAGAGCTGAAGGCACTATATGGCACTGCTATTTGGTACTACCTCATTCACGCAATCTATCTTTACGGAAGAAATAAGATCAAACGGAAGGACGTATTCCTTATATGTACCTACATATTTGATTCACAGGTGAAGGAAGCTGAAAAGCAAGCCATGATTGAAGGAATTCGGGAAAATGGCTCGGAAGCTGCAGAGTTTGTTATTCGAAAGGTAACAGTCTGACGTAATCACTTTCTTGTTATTGTGGACAGCGTCGCTTTGTACATGGCGAAATATTGCTAGTTTTTTGTAGAATTAGTGTTTCTTAAAAGATAATTCTTGTTTCGAGAGCAAGTTAGTTGGTGCAACAACGACATATTAATTTTCCTAGTAAAGGAGACGGCCAATTTATCAGCGTCTTACCTTTAGTCTCCCTCAAAAACAACAACAACAAACCTTTGTTTAGAAATTACATAAACATACAAGGACATTTATGTATACTTGCCACATATAACGCTGAGACGCTTTTCGAACTGGGAGCGAGCTGAAAAATTAGATTAATAAAAGATAACAAAGAGGATGCAATGAAAAGTAGATATCAAAAACTAACAAATTACAACACAATACGCGCAGTACTTACTTGGTCTTCAATAGGTCTGTAGGTCTAGGAACAGATCGAACATTCATCCCGGTTTAAACCCGTTTCAATCTCCTTTTCGGGTGATGGTTGACCTCTTCCTGGCCTTCGAGAATTGTCAGTGTTTTTCTTAATTAACTTCCACATCGCTCTTAGGAAGTAAGACACGCGAGGATTAGGCTGTTGAAAAGCTCATCTTGCTACGTTTGAATTACCTATAAAATCAATAAAGTAAATCTTGTTCTACACGAGACTTTTCTGAGATTAAAATGTTTATAAAATGCAACGTTTTGGGCAGTTTTACTACTTTTCTTCAGGCACCGTAGTTCCAGCTCAATATGGCCGACTTTGTTGAGACTTTGAAAACTCCCGAGTAGAACAGGATTTCCTTTATTTATTTTATATGTAAACATGAGAGGTTCTGAAAGTTTCAGAAAAACTATTTAAATTAGCGTTTTGCACTTTAATCAGCTCAAAGGACAGCTAACTCTGTAGCTTTTGATAAGATCAGCAAACCAAAAAATTTTTTTTTGTTTGTTTGTTTGTTTTTCGGCGATAGGTTCTCGAAAAACGACACAGTCAAGAGCTGAAAGACTTAGAGCGCATGTTCCAGGAAGAACGTAAGGTGGCAGTTGACGAAGCACTGGCCAAGATGGAAGAAAGACACGCTCAAGAAAGCGATGAACTGCGTGCTCAAAACGAAAAAGAGTTGAAAGAACTTGAAAAGCAACGGCTTAGTCCTGAAGAGTTGCAGCAAAGACGAGCGCAGTTACTGAATCAACAACAGTTACGGCAAAGTGCGCTGGACAGGAAACACGCTGAACAACGAAAACAGATCGAACATGGCGTCCAGTCCGATTGGGAAGTGCGTTTTGCTCGCGCTAAGTTGGAACTCAAGGAAAAGCATTATCAGGTTCGTTTATTGGTATTGATAATTATAGTTTCTATCACACTTTAGGGCCGAGTTGTTCAAAGCCCGATTAAGCTAACCCAGGATTAGCGCCAGAGAATTTTAATTTCAGTTTTGTAACTTTTCGTTGAGGTTTTCTGTTTATATTGTTTGTCCTTCAGTCTTGAGCTTGAGTAATCTCAAAATACACAAAGCACAAAAAAAAATTAGCGTTAACCAGCTCTCGAACAACCCGCCCCAGATGTTTAATTGCAGCCGTATTTTAGGTTGATGTTTGATTAGGAGGAAATCGAAAGAATTCTCCTCTTGTTTCATTTTCTAAGATGTCTATCTGATGTCTATTTGTCATTCTTTTCCTCTCCCTCCCGTCCCGTCCGGTAGGAGTATGCAGATGCCTTAAATGAGTTGACTCCAGAGCAGGCAGAAGAACACAGGCGATCAGTTGAAAAGGCTCTGGCAGCCGCCAGGGAACTGGAAATAGTCAAGCAGAAATTAGATGAACAGCGACTGGAGAACGAGCAAAAACTCAAACAAGAAAATNCAATTTTAATTTCAGTTTTGTAACTTTTCGGTGAGGTTTTCTGTTTATATTGTTTGTCCTTCAGTTTTGAGCTTGGGTAATCTCAAAATACACAAAGCACCAAAAAATTAGCGTTAACCGGCTCTCGAACAACCAGCCCCAGATGTTTAATTGCAGCCGTATTTTAGGTTGATGTTTGATTTGGAGGAAATCCTATCTGAGGATGTCTATCTGATGTCTATTTGTCATTCTTTTCCTCTCCCTCCCGTCCCCTCCGGTAGGAGTATGCAGATGCCTTAAATGAGTTGACTCCAGAGCAAGCAGAAGAACACAGGCGATCAGTTGAAAAGGCTCTGGCAGCCGCCAGGGAACTGGAAATAGTCAAGCAGAAATTAGATGAACAGCGACTGGAGAACGAGCAAAAACTCAAACAAGAAAATGAAGGTTTGTTGGTTTCACTAAAGTTCACGATGTTACGGTATAATAATAACGTAATACTATCCTAAAGATTTCATGTCAACAATATTCATTAATGGTGTGGGCTGGGTAGAACCATTTTGTCAGTGTATTCAATTGGTAGTCTTAAAAGTTAAAGTCCCTTAAATCTAGTCTAACCACAGACCTTCTGTTTTTTCTTGAGGTCGTCGAGATCACAAGTTATATTAACCGCAGGGAATTAGAAAAAGCCTGAACGCAAGAGGGGTGGCGCTGGGGAATGCGGACAAAGACCCGTTTCGCGGCCGCTCTCGCGCTCTGTACTCGCTCTCGATCTCACGCCTTCGCATCGCTCGCGCGCTCAAAAAAAATTAATCGTGGCAACAAATAAACGTCTGTAAACAGACTATATATGAAACAGTAGAAACGTTTAAAACTGTTCTAACCCATGTATCATTTTCACTTCAGCATTTGAAGCAGAACAGCAACAAAAGTTGGAGGAAGAACTTCGGGCGTTCGACAAACAACTGGAACAAGAAGCAGAGGAAGAACAGAAAAAGAACGAGAAGGCAATCTTGGCTTTGAATGCTCGAAAAGAAGCACTGCTGAAGGAAAAGAAAACTAAAGTCAAACAAGAAATTGATAAAATGAGCAAGCAAGGCGCTTCTAAGGAAGATCAAGAAGCCATCTTGAAAGAGCACAGCAAAGACCTGGCGAAACTCATGAACAAGATGGATGCAGACAGAATGAGAATGCAGAGCTCGCTAGAAGAGCGTCTGAAGAAGAGACGCGATGCGAAGCGGCAGAGCAAAGTTGATGAGCTGAAGAATCGAAATGAAGAAGAGAAAAGAGAATTTGAAGAAAAAGTACAGTCGGAGCGTGATCGAGTGCAAGCTGAAGAGGTCATCGCTTTGAAAGAGAGCATCCATGTTGATAACCTCGTCGCCGCTACGATCGAATCCGAAGCTACTCCACCACCTGTGCCCCAGGCCCGATTGATGCCGGACAGTTATCGATTAGCAGCGCCATTGAGCGAGGGTGAATTGGCGTCCTTGCTGCTATCGTCACCGCTGTACCAGAAGATCGAAGGCATCAAATCTTTGTTGAGTGGTGGAGCTGGGAAGGGAGGCCAGTTCAATGCTCCAGGTAAGGATGATGGGTGCAAAGCTAATGAAAGCTTGGCTGGGACTGTTGTCAGTTAAACAGTCATGACACAGCATTACGTATGGAGAAGTATGGATTGTTTAAATTAATAGGGGTGCAGAGGGCGGAGAGGAGGTATTGTTCATTGAGATTGGTGTTTAAAAAACACCTCCTTGAAAAGTCTTAGTAAGTTTGAAAACGAGTCCTCGTGCAAAAACTTTCGTATGAAAATGAGTTTGATTCGCAAGAAAATGAACCTGTCGGGGGAACAACTCGGAGAAGGCCCACGGTAAGAATCATTATTTTGGTTACAGCGATGAGCTTTTTAGCACATTTAATTTATTATGGTAACGTTTGTCTAATAATTCGTTCTTGTTTCTCAGCACCTGGTGAAGGCTACATTGACATCAAAGACGACACGCTGTGGGGAGGAGACGACGAACTCGTCCCAGTTGACCTGAACACGCTGCCTGCTCGGTCGTTCGTCACATACAAGTTTGGTTCGTTCATTGTCGACCTGCTCGCTGTTCATTGCCACCACTTACCAGTCACGTTGCTACTCGCTGACAAACTGCCACCCAACACTCACCTGGAGAGGAACGCTTACCGCAACTCCTTCTTCTATGATGCTAACAACCGCATCTTGTACGTACGCGCCGAGCGAATGGACAACGTTGGAGAGTTTGTCTTGGTTCTTGTCCACTGCCTGTCACACATCGCTTGTGGAGACTTGCGTGACGACTCACATCCGGGCTTTTTAAAAGAGTTCCATCACGCCCTAGCCGTGATGTGCGATGACTTGTTCTTTGCGCGTTACAGGCGTTCTTCTGCGCTTGCGCGTACGCTGTCGTCACTTCCGGCGAAGGATGATTTGGAGAGCGCCAGTCGAATGCTGCTGGAGTCAGTGTTTGGTGATGCGCATACGGAGGCTGACAAGTCCAACGTGGTAGAAGGACTCTTAGACGCCAAGCTTTTACGCGGTGCAAACAAAGATGGCGTACATTTTACACATGAGGGAATTGTGGAGCGCTTATCCAAGTACAGTAACTTTGCCGTGGAGTCCAAGCTGCGATCTTTCTTGGGTGATGTGGAAGACAAGGCTTCTCACGCTCGACTACAAGGCACCGAGGAGTTTATTGATAAACGACTTACTGAACTGCAAGGACCACAAGCTAAGGACAGACCGGTGTCACGTTACGCTCAGTCACGCGGTAACCTGATGTCGCGTGGTGTGTCACGTCAAGTATCCCGTGCCCAAGCTTCGTCACGCACTGCCACTAGTTTGCCAATCTCTGGAAAAGCTGCTAGCCAGCCTAAAGAAGACGAAGACCTCTACTTCACTTTCTTGCAGGTATGTTCACGTTTTTTTTTTGGTCGATTCAGTCTTATTAAAACATAGGTGAGCTATCCCTTAGTGTGTTTTTTTTTTCACCGTAGGTGAGTTTACGCTCATACTTTCGGTAAGGGACGGACCATCTTTTGGGGGGGGG